CATATCAAGATATTTTTCGAACATAGGTACATTTTTTTGCAAACTTGCGGAGTGCTGCCAGCTTTTCTTTTTATCACATTACGATGTAGCGAACAAATTGTGGCACCGCTACTTGGGATTTGCCGATTTTGACAATTCTCAAGTAAATGTAAACAACGCCTCAGAAATTTTAGATGCACTGAAATTTGCTAATACTTTCACAAAAATCGCCGTTATTTTAACATTTTCGCTATTAATTCTTTTTATAAATCATATATTTTAAATTTAACATAATGAAACCAAATTTACTATTTTACAGTTTATTTTATCTCCCATTCGGCTCTGTTTACTTTTATTTGAGAAATTTCATCGCCGACGGGAATGCGGAATCTTGTATTATATCATTCTTGTTACCATATAGTGTTTAGTTTTGGACAATTTTTGCTCTAAAAATTAATAAAATAATGTCGAGCAAAAATAAAACTAGGTACTCAAAAACGCGAATATGTGGTAGATTTCAGACCTTGTGTGGTAGATGTGGTAGATGCTCAAAAAAGTGGCAGATCTACCACGATCATTGATCGGCAGCTTTGAAGAGAGTGTGCGCCTAATAAAAGCTGTTCACAACAATAGAAAACTAGACGCATACGAATCATTTTACATCAGTAAAACCAAAAATACCATGAACGCTGATAAAGGGAATATAGATTCGCCTCTCTTCGCCTCAATTTAGTTTACTTTTCGTATATACATACACATTGTTTTATAGTTACACCTAATGCTTTTTATTTAAATTTCTCTGTTTTAGTAGCGCGTCGCTGATGATGGACAGCAGGTCTGCCCGAAATGCATACGTATGGACAAATAGTTGTTTTGTATCAAAACTATTAAGTGTTTTATTTGGCTTACTCATTTTGTAGTCAATAAAGGAAGTACATTTTTAAATTAAGCAAAAAAAATCATTAGACTACAAAAAAGGTTCAACTATTTTGATAAATAAATGGTACTTATATAGTTCATAATTAACAAGATGATAAAAAAATTAAGTGATTAACGCCCAACACCGGTCTGAACAAGGTATTAGCCAGGATCAGTTTAAAATTTTGCTCAAATTTCAGTTTAACAATGCATACTGTAATACGCCTTTCCCACGACGTACACTGGGGCTAAGCCTGCTCAAATCTCACTTTTTAAATGCTTTTTTTGGAAAAATAAAAACGCAGGTTTATTTTCCATTAAATTCTACGTTTGGAGTAAGTTTTCTTCCGGCTGTGAGATATGCGTGTCCAAACTTGACAAATTTGAACAATATTTTCCTTTTTTCAAAACGAAGAAATTCAAATGTGCACTTCAAATTGTGTTGTGTTGAAAGCGGTATTATACTTCGTTATTTTGTTTTTTAAATAATAATAGATTGGCGCTTACACATATGTTAGTGTTTGGCCGAGCTTCTCCTCCGTTTTGTGGCGTGCGCCTTGATGCTGTCACACAAAGCGGAGGGACCTACAGTTTTACGCCGACCTCGAACGGCGATTGTATTTTTATGAGAAGCTGTTTTTTTCATGGCAGAAATACACTCGGAGGTTTGCCATTGCCTGCCGAGGGACGACCGCTGTTAAGAAAAAACCTTTTTTCTATATTTTTTTCGCGATTTTGCTTTGACCAGGGCTTGAACCCAGGTGTTGTGGAGTGGAAGCGCGCACTGCTTACCACTACATCACAGCGGCCGACATTAACTAAAATGAAGTTTATATATTTTCATGGTATATTTTTTGGATTTATGTTTAAAAAAAATATTGGGCCGTAGCAATAGAGAAGTTAGAAAAAGGTTTTAACGATTAAAATTGTGTTTTATTGTAATCACCATTTTAACTCCGTCAACTTAAAATGCGTTTTATGGCAAAAACAGAATTTTAACTTTAAAATGAGGACAAAATGGTAAAATAAAGTTCTAAGTTTTGTTTTGTAGTTGAAGTAGTAAACGCAATAGCACCCAGGTTCGGTCCCCACTCCGAGCGATTCCAAACAATTTTCTTTTATTTTATATTTTTATTTTAACATAAACATTACTTTATTTTATTTTGTTAAATTTTGTTTTATTATCTTTCTTTGTTTATGGTATGTCATATAATTATTTCGTTATTAATCAAATTTTTTGGAGTTTAATTTTAATTTAAAAGGCCAGAACAACTATAATTAAATAACAAAAATTTATATAATATTTAAAAGAAAAACAAAGATGTAAAAAAATGTTCCCTGGCAGTGGGATTCGAACCCACGACTCACGGCTTGCTAAATCCGCAATCCTGCAGCGGACACAGGGTGAACTAATTTAAGTACTCATATTTCTATATATTGCCGGGTAAATTTTTTCTCTTCATATGGTTAGCACTGTTCTCTCTCATCTTAACAAAAAAAACTGTTTCTAAGATGTCTATGATTAACAAAACTTAAAAATCTATTCTAAACTTAAAACTGTATTTTAACAAGAATGGCCCGTAGTCATAGTCAAAATAAAGTCGACTTTAAAGTTAGTTGCAGCTTTTTGACATAATTTTCAATGGGATATCTGTCAAAAAAGCTGCAACTAACTTTAAAGTCGACTTTATTTTGACTATGACTACGGGCCAATGAGTTTTAACTTGCGACTATGACTATGGGCCATTATGTTTAAAAAAAAACTAAGCTCTATTTTTTGCAAGTGTAATTTTTAAAATCATTTTTTTTTAATGCACAAAGCGTTTTTAAATTTGTGGTTTTAAAAATGTTCTCTTTGATTTTAATTAAACACAAAACCATATACTTCTGGTTAAGTTTGATTCTGTTTCATTTTGAACTTAAACTGTTTATTATTTTAAGGTTGCTCAATGAATAAAAAGCGGATTTAGTTCTAACAAGGACTTTAAAATCTTTAGTGAGAAGCGGATTTAGTTCGAACAAGCACTTTAAAAATTTTAGAGAGATCTATAGTAGAAAAACTAGTCGCGCTAACAATTTAGAAGACGTTTTTAATAGATTGTTAGTTTCATCAGATCCTCTGATTACTTGCTCGCACTTGTTGCCCGTGATCACAAACCGGAGATCTTTCATTGCTGAAGTAATGGAGTTAGTAGAACTTGAAGCGAATAATAATAGTTTAACGGGGATTGGATGGGACTTAGATTCCCACTGTGAGGAATAAGTGTCACAGTTTTCATTATATAGTGCTTATCATAACTATAAGACACCCTATATTGACAAATTTTGACTATTTTTTTATAATTTTTTTATACAAAAATATTATTATTCCTTAACAAAAACCAAATGAATCTAAGTTTCAAACTTCGTAAAAATATCGATGTTTTAATTGGAAATTTAAAAAAGATTTTGTGTACTTATTTTTGTAGCTAGGACGTACCGTTGATTTTTGGAAATTTTTTGGTGAAGGTGTCGCTCATTTTCTTTATATAAAAAAAACCTTCGATCATACGTCGTATGGAAAAACGTAAGTCCTTGCTACTTCAAACTTGCACTTTAATGTACTGTAATTAAATGGATTACAAAACTGCATACTCAAAATCCTATTAATTGTGCTTATCATAACTATACGACACCCACATATTGTAAAGTTTTGACTGTTTATTTTATAGCTGATTTTTTAATTAATTAATGTTTTTAATTAGAAACATAACTTGCTTTTCGATAGTTTGTATGCTTAATTTGTAAATCTCTTTAAATTTAAAACATAATGGGGCATATTCATAGTCGAATCAAAGAAGAGACTAAAAATAATTTAGACTTTTTTGACACATTTTTCTTAAAAAGTGCTGTCAGAGAGCTGAAATTATTATTTTTTCAACTTTATTTTAACCATGCACATATTCGATTATGTTTTACATTGAAACGTAAACTTTTGCATCTATCTCCTATTTTTTACTATTTAACTGAACTCTATACATGACTTCCCCTGTTTCATGCTCTTTCCTAGTGATTACAACAAATACACACTTTGTTACTGTTATTACAATTTATCGCTTTTGACTTAGTTCTAAGTATTGCGAATTCATTGATAAAGCTATCCTCGAATCGAAAGGACTTATTCTTCCTGATTATATTGTAACCTAAACTTACCTATTTTTAATGAAATGAGCTCGGAAAAGACTATAAAAAATTGGCCACTAATGGGTTAAAATATTGTTTGGGAATGAGTTCGGCAAAGTAGAAAACCACGTTGTCCCAAATAAGTCGAGTAAGTGTCTTTCACTTCTTTATTGATTCACGTTCTTGAATATTATACCCTAAGATCACCAGATACTCCTTATATACATACAGAAGTATATGGGCAAAATACTTACATATGTGTTCTACTCCTAAGTACATCAGCTACAAAAACGTCTCACGCTAGAGCGAGAACAATGATAATACGCATAATATGTATGTTAAGCGATGACATTGCAAAAATGAACTAATGTTGGTTGTATTGGTGCATTCAGCGGGTGTTGATGAGCAGAGCTGAATGTAGGTATGTTCCTGTACTAACGATGCCCAATACCTTACTGTAACTCTTGAATATCCTGCCCGGATGAACCCGTGCGGTTCAGTAATTCTTCAGATGGGCCTGTTAATTGTCATAATTTCTGTACGGCCGCTGACATCGGTGTTTGGTAAAAAGTCCGTTCGAGGTTTTCTGGTTAGAATTGTATTCGATGGTGACCACGCGAACCAAACCATCACTGCCCAGATGCACGTCAATGACCCTTTCTATGCGCCAAAATGTTGGGGGGGGGAGATTCCCATTCCGGATGAGGACGACGTCGTCACGCTGAATGTTTGGCTCCGGTCTAGTCCATTTACTGCGAGACTGAAGGGAATTTAGGTATTCGCTTTGCCAGCGACACCAAAAGTGCTCCAGCATTCGTTGAAGACGTTGCCAATAATGCAAACGATTTTCTGGAACTTCTGGTAATAGAGGTTCCGAACGACAATTCAACGGGCGGCCAATAATGAAATCACCCGGAGTGAGCGCTACACCACCGGCTGGGTCATCGTATAAAGCAAGCAATGGCCGTGAGATGCTTTTTGGCAGAACGCACCGCTGCTTCCCAAAGGCCACCGTGATGAGGTGACGATGGTGTAATAAACTTCCAGTGGGTTCCTACAGCCACCAGGTGTTGTGAATACACATTCACCCATGCCTGTAAATCCTCCTGCAGTTGTCGATTCGCACCAATAAACTGACTACCATTATCGCTGTATAAGGTAGCGCAGATGCCTCGTCGACTCACGAAGCGGTCGTACACGTTTATAAATGCTTGTGTACTCAAGTCCTCGGCCAGCTCAATATGAACTGCACGCGATGCCATACAAAGAAAATGGCTGCATAAGTTTTTGTCGTAACTGCTGAGCGCTTGCTGCCAACTCGGAAGGGGCCACAGTAATCCAAGCCACTGCGGTAAAATGGTGGTGCAACAAGGACACGCTGCTTTGGTAACGACGCCATCTGTTGCCGCTGCGTAATTTGCAGATGTCTTCAACATACGGTGCACCTCCAGATGTAAGATTTTACCTGGTCCCGCGCACATATGAGCCAAAAGCGTTGTCGGAGAAACTGGAGCATCTGTTATGATTTGGTGTCGCTGATCGTTACTCATGTCAGCGTTGGTTAGTCGGCCCCCTACTCTCAATATTCGATTTTCATCCAGAAACGGGTTTAGGGGTAGAAGTGGACTGCGACCCTCAATTCCGGAATTAGATACAAGTGCTTTAATATCCTGTTTGAAAGTATTACCTTGTGCCTGACGAATGTGTAAGACCAGCGCCAAGTTCTGCTCTTCGGCGGAGACCACAACCCCTCTGTTGCCTCGAAATAACGGTAGTATGCGTCTAAGCCGCGCCGTGGTTTTGAGAAGATGTCCCAACGTGCTAAATCTCTCTATGCGAGGTACACGATAACCGTCAACTGATGTCATGAGCCACTGGCAGTCAACACGAGATACTAGCGTATACAAAGGGCGAGATTCGGATCTAAAAATGTGATGATCTTCCTCCGTCATCGTGACTGGTTACGATCCTACGGTTGTGTGTTGATGGATGCATGTCGGTCCGGCCCACCAAAGTCGATGACTTTCTAGACCAGATGGCGACAAGCCCCTGCTTGCGCAATCCGCCGGATTAAGCTCCGATATGGTTCCAGGAATATACATCAGAATTGGCCTGGATGAAAGCGACTCGATTCGAAACGTACTGTTCGAAAGCAGAAAGTGCATTGCGGATCCAACATAATTCAACAGTTGAATCGCGCCAATATATGCAAGGGACATATTGTAGGTCAAGAGCCTGACGGACGTGGTTCATAGTGATTGTAAGTAGGTGGGCACCACATAGCTCAAGGCGTGGAATGGTCACTTCCTTGACTGCAGCGACCTTGGTCTTTGCAGCAACCAGAACTGCACCTGAATTGCCATTGTGATCCACTGTTTGGACATACACCGCAGCTGCATATGCCTTACGACTAGCATCACAGAAACCATAGAGCCTCACCATCGAATCTGAACGCATGCCTAGCTAACCCGTTGCGGAATATTAACCAAGCATTGAGCAGGTCAGGTGGGAGTGCTGAATTCCACTGCAATCCCGCCTTCCACAGATCCTGAATAAAGAGTTTTGCTACAATGACAACTGGTGCCAATAAGCCAGTCGGATCATACAATCTAGCTACGTCGCTAAGCACTGTCCGTTTGGTAGGCATCGCTGACTCGTCGAAACCCCGTACCTTGAAGAAGAGCTCGTCATGCAACGGATCCCAATGCAAACCTAGTACCTTCGTCGCTGAATCGTTCAACTCCAGCTCGGATGCAGACATTGTTGAACCAGTGATGGTAGCAAGCGTGTGTGAGCAGTTGGAGTTCCATTTCCCCAACACAAATTGACCTTGCTTCAAGATGGTCTCCACATCTTGTGCCCGTGTGATTGCTAGTTCGGACGTGTCGACACTGTCCTGATAGTCGTCCCCGTAAAAATTATAAAGGATGCTATGTTGCGCTGCGGCAGCCAGGCTGGGGTCACTGATGGTCTTACAATTGTCCTGCGCACATTGACGCAGCGCTCGTACCGCATTAAATGGACTACAAGCCATTCCATACGTCACCGTTGTCAACTCGTATATTTGGAGAGGAACGTCTGAAGCCTCACGCCAAAGAATTTTTTTCCATTTTCTATGACGTTGGTCGACCAAGACTTGACGGAACATCTTCTTCACGTCTGCAGTGATGGCTACGCTGAATTTGCGAAAACGGTGAAGAATGTCGACCAAGTTTGGGTGTAGCTGTGGGCCCGAGAATTGCACGTCGTTCAGTGATACGCCATTCGAGCTATGTACTCCCTCATGAAAGCCGTATATTGCTCGCGTAGATCAGCGTCGTTCGCTAATCTCCGTTCCAATTGTCGGAACTGACGTTCTGCAGATTGGTATGAATCGCCAATGATGGGTGCATCTGGTTTAAATATGATCTGCACCTGATATCGGCCATCCGTTGCGCGTGTAAATGTGTTGGTGAATACCCTTTCACAGTCATCTTCTCGAGTTTCTGATGCAACGGCTGGCTCTTCGAGGTCCCAGAAGCTTCGAAGTAGTTTGTCGAGTCGTTGTTCGTTGACGCGTTTGACAGCATGCGATGTGAGCTTTGCGGATAGTGTTGAACTACCATGAGCTGGCCCAAACACTACCCAACCAAGCCGTGTATTCAAGGCGCAAGGCTGTTCTGCAGATCCCCGAATTAAGCCTTCCAGCAAGAGATCCTTAAGCACCTCAGCACCGAGAAGCAAATCCACCCGACTCGGGCTACCAAACGTAGGGTCCGCCAGCGGCAAATCCTGCAAATGAGTCCAGTAGTGCAATTCACTACGCTACTTTAACGTTTTTCGCATCGTTAAGTTAGCTAAAAGTAAATTTTATCGATTTTGCTATTCATTAAACGTTTTTCTAACGAAATTCGCTTTGACAAAATCAGCTGTTATCGTGAACGTTTCGATTGTGGCTAAGTTCTCGACAAAAATTTTTGTGTCGTTAACATAATCGAAATTTCAAGTTTTTAGTTGCACTTTGTTTTAAAAATGGCTTTTGTACTTAGGATACACCCTATTTCGGAGCGAGCGGGAATTTTGTCCTCCAACAGTGGATCGAAGTGTGTTGAGAAATGTGGACAACCCATTTAATTTAGGACCAACGGAGTTCAAGAAATTGTATTGCTTAAGTCCAAACTTGGCAGATGACCTAGTTTGGCAGCTTGATGGGCATCTAAGAGGTTCAAGAGTAACCGCAATAAAGACGGAAAAACAGGTAACTTACAAAACTTTTTAGTTTTAATGCAATTTTAAATACTTTTCCATTGTGCTTGGATAGGTTCTAGCGGTCCTACGATTTTTTGCGACAGCATGCTTCCAACGGCCCGTAAGAACAGTGGGGAATATCGATGAGCCAGTCATCGATAAGCCGGTCCATACACCGCGTGACGGATGCTAGTTATCATAATATGTTCTGCTCCAAGGTACGATTTCCAATGACGCAAGCGGAGCGGCAAGCCGCAAAGGAAATTTTCGCTTCCGCCTCCTCACCTTTCGTTGCAGGTTCTATTGGGGCTATCGACTGCTCTCATATCGCTATTTTGAGCCCGAAGAACCATGAGGAGGCTTATGTAAACCACCATGGTTACCACTCAATAAATGTACAAATGGTAAGAGGGAAATTTTATAAAAGATTAAAAATTATAAAACCTGGGCTCGAATCGTAACATCCGTTCACGGATTGAAAACGATACGAAGGAAAAATACGTGATACGTCAGGCAGTATAAGCTGAATGGGGCAAAGAGTACGTTCACGTATGTGACAATCCGAAAAATGTGTTTTTACGTGACGAGTAGTACGATATCGTGTGTGACGATTCGAGCCCTGTTTTTATATGTATGTATGCATGTAGATATGTGACCCACATCTGAAAATTTTAAATGTGAATGCTAGATATCCGGGAGCACGTCACGACTCATTTATTTGGACCTCATCTGCAGTACGAAGAGTAATGCAACGACCAGTCGAAAATGGTCACCATAATATGTTTTTAATAGGTAATAGTGGAGAGGTTATTTGTTGTCCTTAAAGCAACTTGGCGATGTCTATCACGGCAAAGGATTCTTTTATATGATCCAGGATTTGCTAGAAGAATAGTCAGTGCGTGCGCTGTACTGCACAACATTCGTTTGGACGAGCAAACGAACGAGTTCAATGATGTTTTTTCGGACACCGATGGTTTCTTTTCAGAGCCTTCAGCGGAAAACATTTGGGTAAATCTGGATACCCCATCCTCAATAGCAAAACGCGTACAGGACCGACTGATCGCTAATTTTTTTACCTAAGCCAAATATTCAAATGGTATCTACCTGTAAAAACTTCCAATGGAATAATAAGAATAGTTTCATGTAAATATAGCGTTTTATTATTTTAAAATTCAGTCTTACTTTTAATTAAATTTTCTTTAGGTACATACATACATATATTTGAATTTGAGATCAGCCTCAATATGTATACAGAATACATTCAGTGACTGAAGTATAAATTGGGTCGGGACATTTTATGAAGTTTAGGCTATTTTGCTTTGGTTTATTAAATGTTTGGTATTTCTTTATGAAAGCATAGCTCATTACCAAACAAAAACCATATATATAAATCCAAATTACAGACTTTCTAAACTAAAGACTAAAGATTCTAATTAAGAAGTTTAGAAAATTTGGCGAAACTTTGCAGAATATTCATAATTTTTGCACAAAGTCTGCAATTTGAATTTATATGGTTTTTATTTGGCAACCAGCTATGCTTTCATAAAGAAATAACAAACATTAAATAAACAAAAGTAAAATAGCCTAAACTTCATAAAATTCCCCGACCCAATTTATACTTGAGTCACTGAATGTATACATTAGAGTGGTTCAAAAATTTTTTTTTTTGGAAATTCATAAACGCTACCCAAATTATTGTTATTTGTGATAAAAAAAGAAAAACGGTTTTTTTTTTTTGAAAAAAAAGTTTTCTTAGAGGTCGCGCTGGTCGGTTTTTTATAAAATTGCTGATGTCCTCAATTTTTTTATTTTCTTGGCATGTTAAAATGCAGCTAAAAATTTGTTTTTTAGATATAATTACTTTGGTATTATTGGGGAACACTCCCTTAATCACATACCTGTCTTGGACTGTTAGAATGGGCCTAGTTCCCGAAAATATGCTCTCGAAAAGACACTAGTAAAATTAAAACGTTGATACTGAACGATTTACGCATTGTCATGGGTTGGAACTTGTTACCAGGGGGTTTCTGGGGTTGCCGATTAGGAATCTGATGTCAGATTTTCAAAATTCAAAATGGCGGTTAAGAGTTTCAAACAAATCCAATCATTTTTTAAAGTTGGTCGCCATTTTGAATCCATCATTTTGAATTTTGAAAATCTGACATCAGATTCGTAATCAGCAACCCCAGAAACCCACTGGAGACGAGTTTTAACCCTTGAAAATGTTTAAAACGTTCAATATAAACGTTTTAATTTTAGTACTTTTTTGCGTTTTCTTCCATATAAATAAAATAGCATACTTCATATGGAAGAAAATTCATAACGCCATCAGCAAAATAATGATCAAAAATCAATGCGACTTTTAAGCCACTTCAAATTTACACATTATAATACTAAAATTTATAAGTCTGTAAAACTGTATACCGAAAACTTTTTTAGAAAGTCTGATTAAAAAGTTTCAAATGTTGATGAACATTTGCTACGTTTTTTTTTGGTTTATACAAAGTGTAAAGTTTGGATTCATTTGGTTTTTGTCAAACAATGAGCTATACTTTATAAAAAATTAATCAACATTAAATAAACTAAAGTGAAATAGAAATAACTGAATCAAATTTCGCTAACATATTTTTTTGGTTATAGGTGTATATACTATAAGTTAAAATAGTTAATGCTAATGTAGCTTAAATTAAAAATATACATAAAAATTTTAAGTCCAGGAGCTAATGACGTCCACCAATCTGTTGAACGCCTCAATCATCAATTTGTTGGTTTCTGTATTGGCGGCACTACATTCAGCTAGCAGCTAAAAAACCAAAAATGCAAAAGTCAATAATATTTTTGCATTATATTTGTATTCGTAAAGAACGACTAGTAAAGTCTGGAGGTTAAGTTTACTATGGTACAATACATTCGACTTTTATGCACATATATTATTGGTCACTGAGTGTGGAAGAGGTAATATTGATTCTACAAACGCTCTCACAATATTCAGATTAAGTCTGATAAAAAATATTTCTTAGTTTTAATAAAAACGTGAATCGTACATTATACCTAGTAGTGGACGCCCAGACATTAATCGTTTTAATGAGAATTTACCTTTAAAGCATCTGCTTGCTTGCTGGACACTTCCAAGAACTTGCCCTGCATCTCCTTCTCGTTCTCCTCATCTTCTCGCTTCCTTTTTAGACTCATACGCGCAGTCCTTTTAGCAGGAATACGGGGTGTCGCACACATCACCTCGCCATCGTCAGCTGCTGTGGTAGTCGATAGTACGGAGGCAACACTATCGTCTCCATCCTCCAAACGCAATTGCCAATTCTATTGAGGAATATAAAAAGCTTTAGAAATGAGGAATCCAAAATATCACCTGACTCCATATTACCTCTTTCATAGGCACATTTTCGACAACTCTTCCATTGCCCGCAATGTACTCGCTGCCGATGAGCGCCATAACTCGTCTCTCAACCTCTGTTATGGGCTCTTGATTAACCGGCCGGTTGCCGGTTAACGCTTGCTGCCTCTTCCTGTCCCGTACCCTGACACTTGTACGGCTTTTCAGATCGCACCACACCTGTTTAAAAAAAATGTTGTATCGCAGATTCTGGGAAATGTTTAGTTATTTGCCCACTGTTTTTAGAATAAAGTGTGTACCCTTCAATATAAGCGTGTGTCAAAATTGTTTGGGTCGGGTCACCTGTTCGGGCACACAAGCCCGAAATCATTAGGCAAATTACTGAACAGTTTCCCAGCTCCTCGTCAAATAATTCCAAAACATATACTTACTGTTTGCCATTGTTCGACAGTCTTCACAGCTCCGCCGATGATATTTAGATTTGCCGCCAGCTCACTCCAATTCCTGTCGCTCTCAGACTTACCGTGTATCTTTTGGAATTTGCCCGCTGCTAGTCCCGGGCACTCCGATAAGTAGTCCAGCAGTCTTTCAATTTGCTCGCCTGAAGCGCGGCTCCTCTTTGCTGCACATTGGCTTGTTGAACTCATTCTTAATCGATAGTAAACATATTTATGCATAAATCATAGTTTAAAATGTGTATATTCTCTTTTATAATACTTACATCTTTCAAAAATCTTAAATTTTGTCGAACAGACAATTTAAATTGGCGGCGAACACAAATATAATTGTTTTTTCGTATTCCTCTTTGTGCTCTTCGTAAAATTTGACATTTCATTTCACAGAGGTGCCACGTGCTATCAATTCAAATAAAAAGTGAAAGTCAGCTGTTTAGTGTCATTAAGAATAAGTTAGGGAATCGCAAGATCGTTACTGCAAACATCAAAAATCGTAAAGTAATAATCCGACAATCGCATCGCTAAAAGATAGTGAATCGCACTACAGGCTGCCGGATCGATCGTTGCGCTTGGTGTAGTTGAGGTTATCATCGGCACAACATACGCCTCCAGTTTGAACTCAGTGTCACTGTCAATTGTAGCCTGCATCTTAAGAGTCACATTGCCTCTGGTATAGACCGCGGTTCTGGAATCGATGCCTTCGATTCGGACCTCAACTGGTTTTCTACGGAGACCCATACGTTTAGTTAAAGAATCACCTGGGAACCCATATCGCAGAGGGCACGACAAGGGTGTTGTTGTCCATTATGATCCACAAGACGAACCTTTGCTGTGGCTAGTAAAACGGTCCAGTCATCGTGGACTAGAAAAGACCGAACCGTCTCTGACTATCATTACTTAGAATTACGAGTCGACACTGCTGATGTGTTCGCTACTTCGGCTGCTGGTGCACTGACTGCATCTTCTTCTCTGCAGAGAAAGGTGTGGTGCCGGTGATGGCTGCGTATACAATCCCGCGACGGGCAATCTCGCGCCCCATGGTCGACGCTGAGGCAATTGAAGCACAGTGAGAGCCGCTTCACGGTGTCCCAGGGCTCTGTTACCGGAAGGTGCTTGAACGGGAAGCTTGAGTTGAATTAACGGCTGCTACATGTGCCTTGAGAGACCGTGTTGCTGGTTGTCGATGCGTCGTTGCTACATTAGAAGCCGCCTGAAGCAAATTGTTTGTGCGCTTCTCAATGACTTCATAAGTCATGCAAATTGGGAATGTTGTTAGTCTGGAGACCATGCCCCACTCATACCGCGTGGTAGTTGGTAGCTTGGGCAGCTGAAGTGGCACTGTGAGTGCATCCCATTGAGTTACTGGAAGATCCATTACAGCTAGCACTCGCATAACATTTTGACGGTGTCGACAACTCGAAGAAGGGTCTTCTGCGATTCCGCTGGGTGATTCGGCAAAGTAGAAAACCACATTGTCCCAAATAAGTCGAGTAAGTGTCTTTCACTTGTTTCTTGATTCACGTTCTTGAATATTCTACCCTAAGATCACCAGATACTCCTTATATACATACAGAAGTGTATGAGCAAAATACATACATATGTGTTCTACTCCTAAGTACATCATACATAATATGTGTGTTAAGCGATGACATTGCAAAAATGAACTAATGTTGGTTGTATTGGTGCATTCAGCGGGTACTGATGAGCAGAGCCGAATGTAGGTATGTTCCTGTAGTACTAACGATACCCAACGTTGCATTTGATCAATACCTTACTGTAACTCTTGAACAAATATGGTCGTCAATGCGTTAAGTCAAAGCTGTAAATGGGTTAAATTATTCATAATTTCCATTATAATAAAATCAAATTAACTTAACATTAGCATTAACATTAAGACATTACAGAAAACTGGGTCACCAATGGGTTAATGCAAGATCAAGAATGGGTTAAGACGTTAAAAATTTACTCTTAAATAGAAGTCCAAGCGAGTCTAATGGAAACAAAAGGATTTCAAAATTTTGAGCACCCGTTTATATGGGGCGGCCCCAGTGTGCGACGCCCCAATTACGTAGTTCGCTCTCTCATTCGTAATTCGAACTCCAATTATCCTTCGAATTACGTAACTCGCCATACAAAATTTTGAGAGCGAATTACTCATTTGTTCCTCATCGATGTTGGTATCCCCCCTTTAGGCGCTCCTATATCAGCATGAACTAATAGGGAGGCTCCGCATGAGAACCTGTGTAAGACACGAGCTTACACAGTTTCCTATGTGGAGATTACCGCACCAACGATTACCCCTGCCCTCATCCCTCCTTATTTTTCCCATCCCTACAACCCATCTCCTCCCCCCTAATCCAGGGTATTACACGACACCGTGCCCATTGAATCGTTTGCAGCCAGGGGGTTTAACAGACCGGCTGTATTTGCACGGCGCCTACCTGACACCGGG